GGTAAACATATGCACCCAATTCAGGAGCACCCAAATACATAAAAGAAAAACTCCTGGAAGATATCAAAGGAGAGATCGAAAGCAATACAACCATAGTAGGGAACTTTAATACCCCACTGACATCACTGGATAAATCTTCAAAAAATCAACAAGGAAACAGCAATCCTAAACAATGACTCACTAGGTCAGATGGACTTAATTGACATCTTCAGAACATTTCACCCCAAAAATATGGAATATACATTCTTCTCAAGTGCACATGGGACATTTTCAAAGATAGACCACATATTAGGACACAGGCTAAGTCTTTATAAATTCAAGAAGATTAAAATTATATCAAACAACTTCTCAGATCACAATGGCATACAATTAGAAATCAACTACAATAAAAACAATAAAAAAATCAAACACTTGGAGGCTAAAGAGCATATTATTAAACAATGATTGCATTAGCAAAGAGATCAGAGGAGAAATAAAAAACATCCTGCAAACAAATGACAATGGAATTACAACAATTGAAAATCTATTGAACAGAGTGAAAGCAGTCCTGAGAGGGAAGTACATAGCATTACAGGCACACCTCAAAAAAACAAGAGAAACTGGTAATAAATAATCTAACTCTATAACTTGATAAATTAGAAAGAGAACAACAAGAAAAGCCCAGAGTAAGCAGAATGAAGGAAATAAAGATCAGAGTGGGAATAAATAACATAGAGACAAAAAAAGAGCTGGTTCTTTGAAAGCATAAACAAGATTGATGAACCTCTAGCCAGGCTCACCAAGAAGCAAGAGAGAGGACCCAAATAAACAAAATCAGAAATGAAAGAAATGAAGTGATATCAGACCCCATAGAAATACAAAGGATTGTAAAAAAAATACTGTGAACATCTCTATTCCAACAAATTGGTCAACCTAGATGAAATGGAAACATTCCTTGAAAAATACAATCTTCCGAACTCAATCAGGAAAAAAAAAAATCTGAATAGGCTGACAACTATGGAAGAAATTGAAGCAGTAATAAAAAACCTTCCATCAAACAAAATCTCTGGTCCAGATGGCTTCACAGAGGAGTTTTACCAAACATTCACAGAACTAAAACCTATCCTTCTCAGACTATTCCAAAAAATTCAAGAGGAAGGCATACTTCCAAGCTCTTTCTATGAACACACCAGTGCCCTAATCCCAAAACCAGATAAAGACAAAATAAAGAGAATTACAAGCCATATCCCTGATGAACATAAGCGCTAAAATCCTCAACAAAATCCTACCAAACTGGATCCAGCATTACATTAGAAAGACCATACACCATGATCAAGTGGGATTTATTCTGGGGATGCAAGGCTGGTACAATATCCACAAATCAATAAACATAATATATCACATAAACAAATTCAGAGACAAAAACACATAATCATAACAATTGATGCAGAAAAAGCATTTGACAAAATCCAACACTCTTGCTTAATAAAAACTTTCAGCAAAATGGGAATAGAGGGATCATACCTCAACATAATAAACGCCTTACATGACAAACTTACAGCCAACATCACACTCAATGGGCAAAAATAAAACCATTTTCTCTAAGAACAGAAACAAGAAAGGGATGCTCACTTTCACCACTCCTGTTACACAAAGTATTGGAAGTACTAGCCATAGTGATATGACAAGAAGAAGAAATAAAAGGCATCCAAATTGGAAAAGAAGCAAAACTGTCTTCTTTTGCAGATGACATGATATTGTACATAGAAAGCCCTAAAGACTGAATCAAGAAACTACTAGACTTAATAAATGAATTCAGCAATGTAGAAGGATCCAAAATTAACATCATTAAAATGCCCATACTACCCAGAGCAATGTATAGATTCAGTGCAATCCCCATTAGGATACCAATGGAGTATTTCAAAGACCTAGAACAAACTCTCCAAAAATTCATCTTGAATAAAAAAAGACCCCAAATAGCTGCAGCAATCCTGAGAAAGAAAAAGAAAGTTGGAGGGATCACAATACCAGATATCAAGCTATATTGCAAAGCCACTGTTCTCAAAACTGCCTGGTATTGGCACAAGAACAAATCAACGCAAGCCATTATGTTCAATTAATATTTGACAAAGGAGACAAGAGCATATGATGGAGTCCAGACAGTCACTTCAATAAATGGTATTGGAAAAATTGGACAGATACATGCAAAAAAAATGAAACTAGACTACCAATTTAAACCATACACAAAAATAAAATGGATCAAGGACTTAAACATAAGATGGAAAAAACCATAAAAATCTTAGAAGAAGCCATAAGCAGCAAAATATGAGAAAATAAACAACTGGTACTACATAAAAATAAAAGGCTTTTGCACAGCAAAAGAAGCCATCAACAAAACAACAACAAAGCACAGTGCATGGGAGAACATATTTGCCAATTTTTTATCCAACTTAGAGGCTCGGTACACGAAATTTGTGTACTTGAGGGGGAGGTTCCGTCAGCATAGCCTGCACCCTCTTCTGGTCCGGGACTCCTCAGGGGATGTCCACCTGCTGGCTGAGGCCTGATCCTCGGGGGAGATGGGCCTAAGCTGGCAGTCAGACATCCCTCTCACAGTCCGAGACTCTTACAGCCGGGACTCCTTGCTCCTTACCACCCATCTGCAGCAGAGGCAGGAGAGGCTCCCACCACCGCTGTTGCACTTGCCAGCCATGAGACTGGCTTCTGGCTGAGCAGTGCTCCCCCTGTGGGAATGCACTGACCACTAGGGGGCAGCTCCTTCGTTGAGCATCTGCCCCATGTTGGTCAGTGCGCATCATAGTGATTGGTCGTTTCGCCAGTTGTTCCACTGTTCGGTCAAGTTGCATATTAGGGTTTTATTATATAGGATAAGGGTTTAATCTCCAAAATTTATAGGGAACCCATACAACTTAACAAAAGGAAGATAATCCAATAAAAAAATGGGGACTAGACCTAAATAGACACTTTGAAAGTGGACATACAGAATGCCAAGAGACATATGAAAACATGCTCAAAGTCACTAATCATCTGAGAGAGAAAAATCAAAATGACAATTATGTATCACCTCACACCTGTCAGAATGGCCATCATCAACAAATCAACAAATGACAAGTGCTAGTGAGGATGCGGAGAAAAAGGAACACTCGTGCACTGCTGGTGGGAATGCAGACTGGGGCAGCCACTGTGAAAACAGTATGGACTTCCCTCAAAAAATTATATATAGAACTGCCATTTAACCCAGTGATCCAACTTCTAGGACTATACCCCAAGAAATTAGAAACACCAATCAGAAAGGATATATGCACCCCTATGTTCACAGCAGCACAATTTACAATAGCTAAGATTTGGAAACAGCCTAAGCACCTATCAGCAGGTGAGTGGATTAAAAGACTGTGGTACATCTACACGATGGAATACTACACTGCAGTAAAATAGAGGGAGTTCTTACCATTTGCAACAGCATGGATGGACCTGGAGAGCATTATGCAAAGTGAAATAAGCCAGTCATAGAAAGATAAATAGCACATGATTTCACTCATTTGTGGAATATACTGAACAACATAAACTGATGAACAAAAATAGATCCAGACACATATAAGCATCCAACAGACTAGTAAACCTCAGAAGGAAGGCAGAGATACTTAGGAGGAGGTGGTGATAAGAAATCAATCAAAGGACTTGTGTGCATGCATACAAGCATAACCAACGGTCACAGTCAGTGGGGAGATGAGGGCTTGTGCTGGGGTGTGGGAGTGGGCGGGGAGATATATATATATATATATATATTACTTTCAACAATGAAGAACTAAAAGAAGTACTAATAATATTCCAGAAACTTTTTGATTAGCTAATAATCAAGTGCTTAAAATCTGACTGACATTATACATGGGTGGGCAAAAGTAGGTTTATAGTAGTGAGTACACAAAAGTTTATTCTTAAATTATTTGTTTGTATTTTTCCATATGAACAATTGTAAACCTACTTTTGCCCACATCTGAATATGTTATCAATGATCAAGTTAAGCTTTCACATGGAAGACAGAATCTGGGAAGCTATTGTCTGTCACCACAAGGTGGAGAGTTTCTGTACACTTAGACTTCTCTGATGAGATCAGTGGAGTTGTTAACTAATGGTTGTTTTTTACAGACAAAAATAGGTACAATGAAAAGAGCAATTTGGATCCTATTATGAAACTATGAGTCTCCATTCTAGTTTAATGGAGTCCAACCAAGTCAAATCTATGAAGGGTTCCATCAGTGACAGTGGATTCCTTAGCATGTGATTTTAGGAGCAGGTTCACTATAGCTAATCATAACACTGGCAATGGCTAAGTGGATTTTTGTCTGGGTCAGTCTTATCTGAGGAGAGCAATGTAGATAAATCCAATATGAATGTGGTAACCAAATTCTGTACCTCAAATCTGAAGAATTTACTAATAAATATGGTTATCTTTCTTATTATTAGCCTTATTAATAAGTAATAATTATAATCAGAAAAAATTAAGTTATGAATACTTTATAAGATAGCATTTTTATATCTTATAATTTTTTATATTAGTATGCATTTTTTATGAGCAAATATATGCGTACTATGAGAGTAATAGCAAAAAATTGGAAACCACGTAAATGTGCATTGAGAAAACTAGTTAATTATAGTACTTCTTCACAATGAAATATACAGCTTTGTAATAAAAAAGGAGTGTGTCTATATGGGAAGAGGAAAATATAAAGCACTAGGTAAATATAGCACAGTGTAGATTAGAAAGTTTAAAATTCTTTTATTCAAGAGTATAACTGGGTGTTTATTGTGAAGCAATGGGAACTTTTAATTTTACACATTTCTGATTTCTTTTACAGTTAACATAATTGTCTTTATAAAAAATAAGAAAATCTGGGAATAAATAATATTTGTTACATTTCTTACCTTCTTACACACCCTGCCTTATTCTACCTTTCTGGGAATCAAAAAGTAAAGGCAAAATTTTCAAGGCAAACACTTACCCTTTATTTCTAAATTGAGCAGAAGATGAAGCCCCAGTGCCAGTGCAACATTTGAGCTGAGACAGGCAGCTACCTTGTTGATGATGGTTATCTGTCCATACTTACCAACAATGGATTTAAATGGAAAGAAACTGGCAAAATATAGGAAGCTTCCAGCAGAAGCAGCCAAATGGACTGCAAATAAAATGGAAATTATAAGGTCAGTTTTAAGCAATATGCAAAATAATGAATTACAAATAACTTTTTACCTATATAAAAGGCTAATATGCTAAGTGTCCGACTGCCTGACCAGGTGCTATGACAGGCACTGACCACCAGGGGTCAGATGCTTAATGCAGGAGCTGCTGAGCTGCAGTTAGTTGGCAGTGGCAGTTCTCGGGTGATGCACCCTGAAACCGGAGAGGCACCTTCGGCCGAGGGTTATGTTGTTGGGGCACTATCGGCCCTGAATCTGGTTTGCTGTACACTTGCATTTGTGTCTGGGACCCCCCAGAGCAGTGATGGCGAACCTTTTGAGCTCGGCGTGTCAGCATTTTAAAAAACCCTAACTTAACTCTGGTGCCATGTCACATATAGAATTTTTTGATCTTTGCAACCATAGTAAAACAAAGATGTATATTTTTGATATTTATTTTATATATTTAAATGCCATTTAACAAAGAAAAATCAACCAAAAAAATGAGTTCGTGTGTCACCTCTGACACGCGTGTCATAGGTTCACCATCACTGCCCAGAGGATGTTGGAGAGCCAGTTTCCACCCAATCTCTGCAGGCCAGGCCAAGGGACCCCACCTGCTGGAGGGACCCCACTCACTCCGCAGACGCTCTTTTGAATAACAGCACTGCCCCAGGTGCGGCCAGCTGGGGAGGGACTGCGGGAAGTTCGCTCCAGGGCGTGTCTGGCCTGTATCACCCAGTACTGCCCTGCCAGCCACCTTCTAATTAATTTCCTTTCAATGTGCAGGAATCCATGCACTGGGCCACTAGCTAAGGATATAAAGAAGAAGCCACATCAAGACTGGTAGGATGGGTGGAGATGCGGATCGTGCTGGTCTCATACTCACCTGTGGCAGATAAAAATCAAGAGGAATATCTCAGCTGAAAAAGTCTTCCCCATCTCCTCCCAGGAGAGAAAGATCCCAGCTCCATACCAGGCCTCAAGAATTGTGTCTGAGTGAGGAGGAGGGCTGCTGGAGTCCCAGGCATCCCTCTTAAAGGGCCAGCATAGGAACTTTGACTCAGCCCCTCTGAGCTCCATGGAAGGGGCATCAAATTGAAAGGCACCAGGGACATAAGCAGAGAAACTGAATCATCTGGTATCAGGGCCAGAGCTAGAAGAAGCTTTCTCTCAGACAGAAGGGCTGGCAGAGGCCAGTGTTCCTTTTCTGAGCCTGTCCCTCCCCTCCACGCGCCCTCCTCCCCACCCCCCACCCAACCTAGCAGATGGGTGCCATATCTGAATCTCTATCAATCTCACTATCATTGTTCACCATTTCCTGAGATCTCACCCCACCCAGCTTGTGGACCCACCCACGTTGTTTCCAGTGACTTTTCCATACAAACATCCTATCTTGGCTCACGCTTCAGACTTTCCGAAAATCTCCCAAAAAAGGAGCATCTGAACTTGTACCTCTTGCTAAGTGACCCCAGGTCTGGACTAGCAGCAGCAGCAGGACTTGATTCACAACCTTTAAGCCCAGCACAAGTAGCAGCCACCTGAAGGTCACTTTGTAGTTCATGCTGGGTGGCCCAGAATAGAACACAGGCAGCAGCTGACCTTGGTCTGCACCTCCTGGGAGGCCTAGAGCCAGCTCACCTGGTGGACAGCTTCAGACCATGTATAAGCACCATCCAACCACCTCCTCAAGTGAAACATCCAGGAGGGTGGCTTGGTGGGCACCACAGCCCTGCTGAAGTAAATCCTGCTCTGAGGGGTGGGCCCCTATATAGCTGATCCTCCAAATGGTCACAGCCACTCCTTACAGCCAATCTGCCTGGAGGCAAATCCCTCCCATTGACTTGCCAAGAGCAGTCAAGGCTCAACTCTAACAGAAAGGAGTACAGAGCCACACCAGTGGGGTTACCTGAATGCCCAGCTCAGGTGAACAAGAAGGCTGTGCCACTTGATACCACAAGACTCCCACTACATAGGGCCATGCAACCAAGCCCATGATACATAGCAACTATTCCTAAGACATAGAAATAAACATAGTCTGCCAAAATGAGAAAATAAGGAAACATGTCTCAAATGAAAGAACTGAATGAAACTCCAGAAAAAGCGGTAATCAAAATGGAGACAAGCAATTTGGTAGATGCAGAGTTCAAAACACTCATTATAAGGATGCTTAGAACTTAGTAATAACTCCAACAGCATAAAGAGGGACATAGATACCATAAGCAGGAACCAATCAGAAATGATGGATACATTATCTTAAATGAAGAATAATGTACAGGGAATCAACAGTAGAAGAGATGAATCTGAGAATCAAATCAGAAATTTGGAATACAAGGAAGCAAAAAATACACAATTAGAACAACAATAACAAAGAATGAAAAAAATGAAAATAGTTTAGGAGCCTCTGAGACAACTTCAATCATACCAATATTCACATCATGACAGTGCCAGAAAAAATAGAGAGCAAGAAATTGAAAAACTATGTAAAAAATTATAAGGATAGAAATCTTCCTTACCTTGTAAAGGAAACAGACATACAAGTCCATGAAGCACAGAGAGTTTCAAATAGATGAACCCAAAGAGGCCCACACCAAGACACATCATAATTAGAATGCCAAAAGTTGAAGACTAAGAGATAATCTTAAAAGCTATAAGAGGAAAGCAAATAGTTACCTGCAAGGGAGTGCCCATATGACTGTCAGCTGATTTCTCAAAAGAAATTTTGAAGGCCAGAAGGGAGTGGCAAGAAATATTCAAAGTGATGAAAAGCAATGACTTACAAACAAGATTACTCTACCCAGCAAAGCTATCACTTAAATTCCAGACGAGAAAAAGCTAAAGGAGCTCATCACCTCCAGACAAGTATTAAAAGAAATGTGAGTTTTCTTTAAAAAGAAGAAAAAGAAAATATAAAAATATGAACAGTAAGATTGCAATAAATATATATATATCTTTCAACAATGAAATCTAAAAAACAAAATAAATGAACAAGCAGAACTAAAAAAGACTCATAAATACAGAGAACATGTTGATGGTTGCCAGATGGGAGGCAGGTTGGGGCGGATGCATGAAAAAGGTGAGGGCTTAAGAAGTAAAAATTAGCACCCACCCCAGACAAGGCCTGGCCCCGTGCACCTAAGGAAACAGCAGTGGGGCCCTGTACTATGGGCACAAGAAGCCTCTGCTACCACCACAGTGACTCCCTGGGCACAGCTTCAGCTTGGAGAGGGTGCCACCTTGAAAGGTTTAGGAGGTCCTCCTTGGGAGGATGCCCTGGGGAGTGGCAGTGGCCAGGCGCCAAGCCTCGCCACCTTTTGAACTCACTTTGGCCTGGGTCCAAAGCCATGTGCACCCTGCCTAGAACCCGTGAGCCCACAGAGGTCACAACTCAGACCCGTACTCCTGTAACAGACACCAGCGGGACCTCTGCACCTGGCATGTAGCCAGCCTAAACCTGTGTGCCTCACATAGACCCACCACCACATGACTGCCACAGACCCAGCAGGACTCAGGGCCCTGCTCTGTACTCACCCACCACCACAGCTATGGTGCAGCCAGTGCTGCCCTAAAGCCCAGCTACTCGGCTGCAGCACCAGGGATCCGGGGCAGGAACTAAGCTGAAGGCTGGGAAGTGGGTGTGGCATCCCCTGCCCTGGACCTACTAGAACCAAGGACCTGAGGAGACTGAAGAGGCTGCAGATCTGTGGTGAGACGGGAGGCCTGGGACTGAGAGGAGGCCCGAGGGCACTGGCTGTGGAGATGAGTGGGTGCAGCAGGGAATCCTGAGTGGAAGTCCCTGGATAGAGCAGCACCGGCACCCACCCTCCTCTGACCAGC